CAACTCTTACCTCAGCCTGGTAGGGAGAGCGCTCGGGTGATGTGACTGCCCCAGCTGACTTCCGGAGGCATGCAATTTGAATTTTTGCCAGGACCTAAATTTGTATAAGCCAGGAAGCTTTTGTAACACAAAAAATAGGTCGTAATTTAGGAAATTTACATAAGCGAATTTTTTTTATCTCGAAAGTTCTTATGAGGTTGGGATATCTGTACAGTAAATAGAGCCATTCTCTAACCAAAATGGGTGATTCAAATGTTTTATTTTTTAATATATCAAATTTCATACTAAATCCGTTAAATAAAAGTGTTGCAGGAAAAGTAATATTTACATCCTGAAGTTTTTTAAACACCTTAAAGCTTTCAGATTAGAAAATATTGCCCAAAGTGGTTCACAAACTCCGATCCTTCCGAGGCAAGGTTCTCTTAATTGCACCATATTGGATCCTACAACCATGGTGCCTGGATCTGCTGAACTGGTGCCCGAATCCGCTACAATTGCAACAAGGATGTCTAGATCAGGTACTACATTCTCAGTTCAAGATATCCTTGGCACTTCACGCTTGGGGTTTCTCAAAAAAAGTTTAAATACTGTAGGTTGTTGGGTAATCCCAATACTGTATAGCTAACCAAGTATTAGCAGGTCATAGACCCCAAACTTCTATTCAATATGAGAAAGCTTGGAATCCTTTTTCAACAATTTATCAAGTTAACAACTCCAGAATCATTATCAGAAACAGTTGTAAAAATTTTTAGAATTTCTGTTCAGAGCTAAAGGCCTTCAAGATCGACAATTGCATCTTATAAATCAGCATTGGTTGACCCTGTGGCTTGGGGTTTTAATATTACTTTGAACCCAAGGATTTATCAAATGCTAAGATCATCCTTTTTCATTCAGAGACCTCCTCGCCCCAAGAGAATCCCACATTGGTCTCTGGAAAAAGTTACTTAACTTCTTATGGGACCTAATTACAATATAAATCTGAACAGGAACGTGATAATAGGCATCTTCGAGATCCACTTTTGAGATCCAAGCATTGGGCGGAAGCAATGTTACCTTGGTATGTTAATTCCTAGCTAACTCGCCAGGCCAACATACAGGCAATTAAAACATCTAATAATTACTTAATAAGTAATATTAGGAGGACACGTCGCTTACCTGAGCGTCACGTTCCGAGCTACATCACAAAAACTGTTTTTAGAAAAAAATGGCTTTTTTAAAAGATTGGGCCCAAAGGTGTAAAAAATAAGGGTTAAGGTTGCTAAAAAGTCACATGACTGCAAAAAACTCTGTGATTGGTTGTGACGTCACTGGTTGGGGTGAACTTCCCAGCGGGAGGCAGCCAACTGTAGTTGTCCAACTTTCTCGGCTGATCGGCTCAGTAAATAAATATTATTAGATAAATAATTGTGCTTCATTGTACAACACAGTAATACTATTTTGAATATAAAAATATTACTGAGTACATTAACTAATTCAATGGATATTAGCTGCCCATATAAATTTCATAGTATAAACATCCCAAACAATATTTATATTATTTTGGTTTTGGTCATCTGGGAACCTTAAGATTCTAACTATGGGATTAAGTACTTTAAACAATATGGCACATTAACTCTACAGAATTTCTGTCACAAAACATTTTTCGATCGCATAAAAAAATACAGATCATAGGTTAGGTTAGGGTATGATCAATAAGGAGGAGTAGTAACTCAAAACTAGTGATTTCCAATAGAAGAGGTCAAAATCGTTCAGAAAAACATAGTCTGCATGTCTAAGTACAGGGATGACCAAAACTTAAAACTTACCCAATATAGCCTATCTTGAATCTAAACATCAAAACACTTACGGTAGTTATAGCAAAATTTTAACCATTAATTAATATAAATGATAATATATCCCAGTGGTTCATTAGTAAATCATCAAAACAATAACAGCAGTATGTTGTCATGTTTAGCTAGCATCAGGCATTATCAAAATTAAGTCTAGACAACGTCATCACTTCTAAATTTATTCTTATCTCTATCTAGTACTGATCTACTCTGAAAATGCACTGAAAAAAAATAAATTGAGAGAAAGTCTACCAGGTAAGAATACATGACAGCTGAGCTGGTGTGAACATGGGAGTTTTTTTTTATTATCCAAAAAAACATAGGAATGAAGGAAACTGCAGCAGGCCATACTGGCAGTTCCATTTACACCCAACCCCTATCGCTCATATATCCATCCGACCTATGTTTGAAAAGTTGCTCTTCGCGGCACATTTCTTCACTTACGAAATGTCCATGACTTGACCAGAAAAAAAAACCACCCTTAAAACTTACCTGAACGTGGCATTTGGGGTCTGAAGAGGCCATCCTTTCTACTACCTACGACTGCAGCCCAGTGGTGTTTGAAACTAGTGACGTCATTGCAAATGGAGGTCCTGTTTCTAGAGAAATAAAGTTATCTCGACTATTAAAGCAGACTCTAAACTTTTATTACAAATTATATACAGTGGGGTATGCTATAACGAACGGATCCTACTACGAATATTCCTATAACGAACGGTTTTACTTATAAAATTGAGAATGCTATAACGAACGCAACTCCTACAACGAACGCGGATGAATACGGGACTATTTCGCCTGGCGCATGAATATTGTTGTACCGCGACCCACAACAAGAGCGTCAGGCGCCATCTTTGTCTCATTGTGTAGCCAGTGCACCACTGTTATTGTTGAAATTTCGTCTTTTGATGTGGAAATTCGCGTTATTTGTATAACTATTTTGTTATACAAGTATACAATTGTAACAATGAGTCGTCCAAAGCGAGTGAGAAAGCTAATAACCCTTGAAACTAAGAAAGAAATGATAAAGAAACGTGAGAATGGAAGAAGCATTGCGAAACTTAGTGATGAATATGGGATGGCTAAATCGACTATATGTACGATTTTGAAGAATAAAGAGGAGTTAAAACTGTGCAAGTGGCTAAGGGAATCTTTAGACTTAGCAAAGCAAGGTGTAATGTGATTGAAGAGATGGAAAATTTACTCTTAGTGTGGATAAAGGAGAAAGAAATGGCAGGTGGTAACATTAGTGAAGCTATAATTTGTGAGAAGGCTAAACAATTGTTTGAGGACCTTAAAGCCAAGACTCCCAGTGGAAGTGATAGTGATGTGCCAGTGTTTAGGTGTACCTGCATGCTGAATAACACTAAGGTAAGATAAAGTACCGTATTTTTTACATTTTCCACAGAATTTTTTCAGTGTTAAGTGGTTGTATTTGGGGGCCTGGAACGGATTAATCCTATAACGAACGAATGCTATAACGAACGAGGTTCTGGAACCAATTACGTTCGTTATAGCATACTCCACTGTACTGTATACAGTACCGTATCACTCTACGAACATGGCAGAGTGTATCTTTTGTGTTTGCCCAGAACCGTCAACTCGTCCATTGTCTCATGTATAGTGAAATGGATGACAAATATTTCATCGTCCAGCAGAGAGAGATTTAATGAAAAGCTGCAATCAGCCATCATCTCAATATGATAAAAACAAATTACTATCTTTCCAAACAGAAAACAGGTTTAGCAAAGAGTTTTAGTTGTGAACTTTATGGATATTCAATAGTGAAACATATACATACTGTACATAAATCACATGACTAATATGTTCATGCCTTTATACCGACTATCTACATTGGTGGTCGATTCAACATTCATAAACAGTCTTTAAATTATTTTCATCAAATTTAAATATAAAGATTACTTCTCAACACTGTGTTTATTTTTACACCTGTTTATGTGGTAATGATCACAAAGAAAAATCTTATACAGGTATTTGAAATACAGTACTGTAAATTAAGCATTTCTGTATGAAACTAGTTAAGACACATCTAATTTTCATTTTAAAATTCCACTCTTGAGAATGGTCTAAACACTCTTAAATTCATAAATATCACTTATAAACTGAAGTTTATGCTTCAGATTGAAATTACTTACATTCAATAGGACAACCAATATACAGTAACCATGAGTCTGCAAAAACACTACAAGTAGGAAGAGATCTTATTATACAGCATGTAAAACATCTGTATGTAAAGAGCTTTGAGTACAAACACACAAGTAGCAACTTGGTACTGTATTTTATTATTGGATCTAGGTCATCTTTTAATTAATATCTGTTTTACTCAATACTTCTGGTCATAACTATTCTTTGTTTTAAAACAGTTTTGAGACATAAGGATTGATCCTGAAATATCAGTTTAAAATGAGCATGGATCAAGAGACTTACTTGCATTGACAAGTTTCTGGGTTTGACCCCAAGGTTTCAGGAACCCTCTACTTACATACCAGGGTTATGCTCCATGAGTCCAATAAGCCTAGAAAACTAAAGATAGGGTCTCTCTTACTCAAACTGCATCATTCCTTATAAATATGGGATTACACTGAAGATTCAGTTGCTTGAAGGCAAGAGCTTTGAGTCTACACAGCCTTACCATTAAACAAGCACCCTGCAACTCAAGCTTCAGGCTCAATCAACATTTAGATTCCAGCTCATCATCATGTTTTAGGGAGGGAGGGAGGGATCTGAGTTGCCTGATTCACATTTGTTATAAAATGCAATCTTTGGGTCAAAATACAAATCCACATGAAAGATGCTTGAACAGCTGAGGAACGACAAGGGAACTGAAGGACTACTAATTCCGAGCCCTGTTTTAATGTCTGTTTGGGTCATGGGGTGTGTGCACAATGGCATAGCAGCCTTGACTGACAGCTCTCACCTTCTGATAACTGTTTCTTCAGAGCTACTCCCTATTTATAGGGACTACATATGAACTGGGAGAGATTTCATCTCTAGTCTTGTGTTTTATTATAATTCTGGAGTACAGGTCAGGCACAAAAGTGAAGGGTTTCTGGGGTAAAACCCATGAGCTTATTTCATTTAAGTACTGTACACGAGTTATCCAATCCACAGATTTTGGGTGTCTCTTCATGTCACATGAGAATCATAAGTAAATTAAATCCAGTATGATTTATTATATTCAAGACTAAACAACAGACATCAGAAGCCATGATCTGCATAGTGAGAATATTAATTCCCCACATACAGTAAGCCCATAAAATAACTATCAACATGAAAAATCTGTTCAAACCTACAAGTACTGTACATTATTTATTGTGCCTGAAATTCACCTGAAATAAACTTTTTATATGACAGTAATATCTATTGTTTTGCTAAATAATCAGGTGCACATATCTTTCTAAACTCCAACACTGTCTTGGTCCTGCAGCTCTTGTATTAAAATGAGCTTAAGAAACTCTTATAAAATCTTCCTTTGCTGGAAGCACTGGTGAAGGAGAGTAGAAAATCAATTTTCAAAATTACATTTTTAGTCTTTGGAAGATCTGATGTGTGTATCTAAATAGGTTACATAATTCCTGCCAAGGTATACAGCTCCAGCTGCACTGGCGGCACCTATCATTGTGCGGAGGACTTGATTTTCTGGTGCAACAGTGCGACCCAGGGCCCACAGCAGCATTGATCCAAGATTAAACATCACAGTCCCAAAAGCACTGTTAAAAAAAAAAATTAAATAAAAAATCTTATTATATAAGTGAATTACAGCCTGTATATACAGCATTAACATATGTTCAGTTATAAATGTTTATAAATAAGAGGAAGCCATGTTATTGGCCAAAACAAGAAACAGAGCAATTAAATTTTAAACTACAGTGTACCTGTAGTTGCTAAACAAGACATAAAACTGTTGGACTAAGTTAAAATACAGTAAGGCCTACATAATGCCACTGCTGGAAGATGAAACTCAAGACAGGCAGACGGTTGACTTTTAATTACAAAGTTAATCCACAAAACTCAGTCATACCTTGCATTTAAATGCATTTTTACTGATAATTTATGCTTTCCATTAAATCCAGGTATAAATAGATCTATTCCAATTAAACGTCAGTAACTTAAGAGTATAACTGTGTCCATGTGTAAATAGTGTTAGCAGTGGCAGTATCACAACCAATGAGGTGTATCCGAGGTGTGTTATTGCATAATGTTCGACTATCTGCTGCTACTATTGGGAAAAGTTGATCTAGCAATCAACCCTACCCTTATTCTTAGGAAGTATGGTAGCCCAATCCCACCTTCTCACAGTGTGCACTGTTAGCACACTTTGTGTCTGTGCAAGTGAAACCAACAGGGAGAGGGCTGATTAATATCCTTTGAATTTATAGAGGCCTTAATAAATCTTCATTGCCAAGTTATTAGAATTACTGTTGTGTATCTGAACCTGGTCACCCAGGTAGAGATAGGGAGTTCACGGATCAATATGGCTTGTTTTTTGAGACTTTACAAAACAATACCCGACTGAATCTTGACTTACCAGAATAAGAGCTTTTCCTTGGGGTTAGCTTGTGCAAGATGTTTACTGGAGTACAAGTACAGTCCTGTCCCAGAGATGGTGTTCACCAAGCAGGCATTCGTCAATGAGATGTAACGAGGTATTACCCTAAGAAACAAACATCTAGCAATATAATAAATTCTTAATTGCAATAAAATTTAAATTACATAAAAGATAAAAAAAAATTTAGACAGCCAGGCAAACAAGTTCAGTATTCAAAATTTCTAATACACTACAACAGAATCCAAATTTTTTACTTCATGGTCTTACAAATTACCTATTGATCTTCAAATCTAATTTCCTGGCCTGTTTTAGAACATGGAAGGTAATTCAAGTATAATGCACTCACTAAGCCATTGTTCTAGACCTCCTTTCATAGAAGTACAGTACTTTAAACAAATCAGTCAAAAAACCTAGACACAATACTAAGTCTTCTTCCATATTATCAACCACTATCTGTTGGATCTGTCACCCTGGAAAGCAGGATGAGAAAATCATATGGAACATTTATTTGTCTAACACAAGTGATTTATGAAATTTACTTGCCTGGATATTTTTTCTTTTATTTGCCTTAGCAAATTTTGGAGGATATTTGCTTGCCAGGTTCTTTTATGGGAAAAGTTAAATAAGCAATTTAAATACCCTTTACACTTATCCAATCAACATTCCTTGTTACTTATTCATGTTGATGTTTTTGCTTCAAGTTACAGCACAACTCTGCTTACACAACAGGCATTTCGGGTCAAATCATTGCTAGAACAGGCCAACAACACTAGAAGAGATCAGTTATGACATCACTGAGGCTATAGCATGCACCTGGGCTTTCTTGTCAGGTCAGGGATCAACTCAGCTGTGATGTTACAATATGGCAGCTAGTCAAGCACACAACCCCCTTCCCATCACCTCGCTGATTGATAGACCTCACTGGTCAAACATATACCGGGAGGTGGTGTCATGAAGCACTTGACAAATTTCCATCTGGGTATTTTCCTCTCAAAATGTTTGCTTGTCTACCAGGCACACAGTCATGAAAAATCACTTGTCCAACCCCTAGTCCAGACATATTCAGGCTGCCAGTGTAACATTCTCAGAGGTTCCTCTACACTCAAGAGGGCACCTTGTATAGACAGTAATGTGCATCAACAAAAGTATAGATTATTTTGTCAACACCAGAAAAAATAATAGAATTGAACCAAAATTTGGGGAGACTAATATCATGATCCTGAACACGAAAATGAAAGTGAGAATGTACAGAACCTGACCTAACCCTTACCTAACCTCACCAAACTTCCATTTTTGTGTTCAGAGGTGCCTTCATCAACATCCACCAGTAGACTTGGGATTGCCGAGGACCTGAAGGTACCTGTCACCAGGCACACCCCAGCACGATGAATAGAGTTCAGTGTGTTGAGCCTAGCTTCAGTGGTTGAGGAGTACACCTCACACCCATAATCCAGTTTGGGTCTAGGTAGCAAGTGGAAAAGGTGTAGCAGAATTCCTCGATCAGCACCCCCACAACGTGTGCCCCAAGACTCTCAATAACTTGAAAGCACGCTGCCAAGACTCTTAGAGGTATTGATATGTGACTGCCATGTAAGCCGGTTGTCTAAGATAATGCCCAGGAAACAGGTCTCTGACACACTGCTCACAGTGATCATAGAGCTGTAGATTAGGATCTGGGTTAAAACTTCGGAGGTGGAAGAAAAGCATGGCAATGGTCTTCAAGGGAAAAAATCTGAAACCATGCTCTGTGGTTCAACAAAAATCCCTTGTCATGTGCAAGTTGCATGCACCATAGAGTAGTTGAATTGTGGAAATTGACTTATCATTTACATTATACTGAGCTACTAATGTGATCTAGACCAATGGCATTGTGTGATGAGGTGCATGCTTATTAATCAATTTGCAACAAAGTACATACTGTACTTAAACATTTCTCTCACATAGTAGAATTCATTTCAAGATGTGAGAGTTATTCCTATCACAATTGCTTTGAATAAAGAGACAAGTAAGGTACAGCCTCCACATGTTCTGGCAAATGAAAACAAAGCATCATTGAACTATCTGATTTTTAACTGGAATGGATTTAAGTTTGGCAATGTTCAGAGGTGCAAACCTGCTAAAAACAAAGTTCAGAGCTGGTTTCTTTTTCATCACAGAATTGCGGAGAGCATATTGAAGCAAATTATTGCAAATTTCAAAGCACAAAAGCCTACCACATAAATAAATGGCAAATTAACAGATGTCATGAAAAAATAAGTAATATCAACCTGTAAAACAAAATAAGTGTTCATTTATTTAAATAAGTGCTTACTTTTGATTACAAAGGGCCTCTGAAGGTAATGTAGAAGCAGTGAAGGTAGGTAGTGTGGGGGCAGTGAGGGGCAGTTCTTTTAACACAATTATACAGTATTTCTTCCACTACAGTCACACAAGGCTTACATAAATTAAACACAGTATTATTTCCCCCTAGTACATTTCATTAAAAAGCCTGGTGATTATTTGTCTGGTCACAGACTTTTACTTACTACCACTATTTGTCCTGCATTCATTCTGATAGGTCGAGGTTCATAATGTTGATATCATTACACTTCCTAGATAATTGAATTCAGTCACTAACAAACATGGCAGCTGTGGATGCAGATGTCTGACATGTCGGAGATGCATTTTAAATCCTCTGTGCAGGTCTACAGCCACATTGAGGTTATCTATGGGAAACAAACATTCCCTCCAACAACAAAAATTAAAAACTCTTCATACATTTTCTTAATTACTCTTTTCATTACAAAACCATGAGATATTAAAATATACAGCTATAACCCCATTTTGGTAATAAGAAATTTGTATTCATTTTAGACATGTATGGTAGTGTACAGCTACATCAGCCTTATGTAAAGTAACACACTAATATTCCCTGTACAGTATTCATAAAAAAGGAAAGTAATAAGTTAATAACCAACAACATTAATTGCTACAAGGGGTTATACAAAAAGAAGAAAGTTGTCCAACAGTCTTTGGACCAAATTCGTAAATATCCATCGCGAGATGAAGAAGCTGGCAATCCTGTTGCTTCATCTCAATAACCACATCATGATAATATTTTAGACGTCTAACTCAAAAGAAGGGGCGAATTTAGGACAATTTTCCAGAAAAAAATAATTTCTTACCTCTAGAATATTCCCAAAAAGGTGGAGGAATTTCATCTTTCAAACATTCAGTTTTCCTTTGTTTTTGTAAAGAGCAGATAAGGTCCATGCCGCTTGGATGAGAATACCATGTTCACTCTCCTCCTTCTGTTGACATTAAATATTATAACAAAATAACACCCTAACCATCTTACCTTACCTGACCTAAACTAACCTAGACTATTGCACTTCCATCCTAGGATATACTGTGTAAGTAAGTAATGTCAGGTTAGGTAGGTTTGGTTGGTTTCATCTTATCCACAATAAATCATCTCCATCGCTGCAGAAACTCCTACACTGTTTAGGTATGAAACGTTACTAAGGCAAATTTGCCGAACTGATACTGTACTGTAATAACAAAATTGCAGTAAATCCTTGTTATTTTGGGGTATATTTTTCATATAAGGTATTGCCAGTTTTCTGTGTTTATCTAAATAGGTCCCACCTCGATAGAGAACCATGTTCAGGACAAAAACACCAGAAAAACGAAAGTAGGAAAGTTGCACTTCCTCCACCTTTATTTATACCTGTATATATATATATATATATATATATATATATATATATATATATATATATATATATATATATATATATATATATATATATATATATATATTGATAAAATCACACGGGAAAATGGAAACAACGGAGTTGAGTCTGGATTTACACGGTTTTCGCTTACGCGTTTTGTCATTTACGCGGTAAATGTGTGTGTGCATACCATCATAAAATTAAGATATTTTTACTACAACGTAGGTATTGTGTCAGAAAAAGTGGAGTTTGGGGGTGGGCCCAGTCTCTATTTCAATTAATCCCATATGTTCTGTTATTTCATTTACGCGGTACAACGCGGGTTCAATTGACCGCGTAAATGTATATATATATATATATATATATATATATATATATATATATATATATATATATATATATATATATATATATATATATATATATATATATATATATATATATATATATATATATATACATCTGCTCCCCGAATTACGACAGGGTTAGGGACCCAAATCCAGGTCGCAAGTCGAAATGGTCGTAAGTCGAAAATGCTTAAATAATACATAGAAAATCTAAAATGGGTGTCTCTTTTTCTTCTCAGCACCACAAAACTCACTTTTAAGCTTGCCAGCCATTTTAAAGTGAATTACAAACGAACATTTTGTCAGTACACAGCGCAATCACTGACGTTGGGTCTCGAAAATACGTAATTTGACAAAAATTTTGGTACGACTGAGGCGGTCATATGTCCGGGTGGTCGTAAGCCAAGTAGGTCCTAAGTCGGGGAGTAGCTGTATAGTATAAATTATAAAAAAGAAACATTTCCCCAAAAGAGAACACTCTCACTTGCAATTAACAAAAAAAAATTATGGTGAAAAAGCACTATGCTCTTGCTAGAATCGTTAGCAGCAATAATCTATACGTCAGCTGAGCCAACTTTTGCCAAAACTTGGGTCGGGTTTTCAAATTTTGGCTTTTTTTTTACTATTTAAAAAGGGAAAACCGAGTCAACTTTGGTCATATATATAGCATATCACTCGTTTTTGCTCCCACCACCCAAAAACCTCAATTTCTCACGGGTTCCCCAAGATTGTTATATGATGGTCAGAATCGTTCAAAACATCAAATCGGGAAAACGTAAAGTTTCATGTCCAAAACCACAATGGGCAGTGTACAAATTTACCATTTTACCAGGAACACAAATAAATTACAATGCATCCATGTCTAGACTGTTAAATTAAGTAATCAAGATGAAAACTATTACGCCCAAAACATTCTACACAGGAAGCTGCCATGTCCATTTATAGTCTGAATTCACAGCCAGCACGTCGGCCTCCTTAACTCCAATAACACATATTAATGACCTAAATACAAAGTAGCTGTAGCTATTCATTACGAACACTATTAATCTCACAACAAATAATGTTTACCAAAATTGTAAATTTGGTAACTTACAAGAAACTGAAGTTTTCAAACAATTCTGGGTTAAACATTTGTACACTCAATATGCCATATGCAGCACAGCCTTTCAAAGGTGTATAATAAAATAATACGTTGTCTCTTGTTACAGGCTTTAAACCAGCCTTTACAAGGCCAGAATTAACTTTATCTACAAAAGTCGCCATAACTATGCCTTCTGCTACTATCGGTGAGTGAGGAACGAGAACGATCCCCGACTCCGGAAGAGTTCTGCATCGGGATCCGGATTTAAGTATCCACCAAGGAGAGTTACACGTTGGGAGGAAAATCCTGTATATGTTTCCATAATAAATCTAAATAAATTAAAAGATGTAGATAACGGGTACCACCAGAATGAATTGTCTGTATTGGTTTAATTTTTTCTACTCACTAATATGAGTAATATCATGATATTAAACACAAAACTGGAAACGACAATGCATAGAACCTAATAGAACCTGACCTTACATACCCATAGGTTGGGTATGTTAGGTCAGGTTCTATGCATTATCGTGTTAATTTGTGTTAAACAACTTAGATTAATATTGAGGTTGATATACATCAGCAATAGCAAGGAGGAATTCGTGGAAGCGTTCACCATCATTTATAGGAAACGTCTCTTGAAGAGGGATTCAGCGAGGTAAACAACAAAAATAGCGATAGAGTAAATAGAGTAAATAAAATAAAATACTTAAAATCATAACAGAAAGTTATCGTTTCATATGCTGATAACCACAAGGAAAAGGAAAACACGACGTTCCCAAGCGCTTTCGTGTAATTCACATCTTCAGGGGTGAGTACAGACTAAGGAGAAGTACTATCGTGCACAAAAGTCATGTCCACTACCCAGGCACAGTGAGGGTTCGAATTGCCTTGAGTCTGAAGTTTGGAACAGCTAGGGGAAATGCTATGGTCGGCCAACAGATGTAGCCCACTGTAGTGTGTTGGGGAGGGGGGATAGAGGAGGTGGGGGATTGATGAGAGGCAGGTTTATTTATTATTTATTCCACCATAATTTCAAGCTGCCTTTTTAACTACGCTTTGTTTTGCAGTTGTTTCTTTATGGTTACGAATTCATGAAACAGGTGCAGTGCCCTGAGTGCTTATTGCTGCTCAGGTCACAATGATACTTTAAAGAATGGAATATATTAAGGATAAAAGTGAAATATGCAAGGATCAGGGTGAAGGGCCTTGGTCAGCTAGTTTTACTCAGCGACCAAGTCATAATTTTGTTGTTATGCCGACAAAGAGATTATGGTAATATTTATTTAGATTCCACCCATCCTTTGCTTAATAAATATTTGTGATAATATGCAATATTATAGAATTGTATACTTATGTTAAAAAGAGTGGAGTGAAAAAGTTATCAGTATTGTAAAATAGTATTCAGACTTAATCTAGTTCCAATTCTTCCAAGTTCCAGTGTTTAAACACCCCACCACAATATGCAAGCTTCATATATTTTGGAGTGTGCTCAGTTACCGTCAATATTGTGTGCTGAACATCATGAGCATTTCAATGATGGTAGCAATTGTAACTATATAATTATATTGTGTTATAAGACAACATATTCCACGACGTGTCATACAGATCATTGTATACCACACAATACATAATTTGTGGCTGTTAAGTTACTTTGTTATGAATTTTCCTGCGATATAGTTTAAGACATCATTAAGGACATGGATTTAAGATAACACTGAAGGCGAGTTAATATATATTAATTGTATTTACAAACAATACTAAAATCCAAACTATACACCAATTCACACATCTTAGTATTTGGTCCAGCCACCCATTGCATTCAGGACTTCATCAAGGCGTTTAGGGATGGAGTCAACCAGCTTCAGGCACACCCCTGGTCGTCGACGTATACTCTCCCACACGTCGTAAGCTTTGGCCTCTATTGCTGCACAGGTTCGCTGCTCCCCAATATCCCAATCACGTTTCATCATGACCCAAATATGTTCAATCGGATTAATATCACATCCTAGTGTTGGCCAGTCGATGACCTCAATTTCAGGGTGATCCTGGAGGTAGTCCTTCACTTTGTTGCTGGTATGAATGGGACTGTTGTCATGAACCAGCCTGATAGTGTGGGGGGCTGGAACTGCCATAGGAATTAGCACTTGCTCCAGGATGTCTACATACTGCTCACCAGTGAAACGGCCATTGATCTTGACCAGTTCACCTGGCCCATGTGCCCACATCCACCCACAGAATGACACTGACACCCTACCACTCACTGTGTGATGTTGAATGTGTTTCTCATGGTAGTGGGTGTTAGGGGGCCGCCAGCACTGCCTTGCTTCGGCTCCTACTGACCTGAACACCGTTTCATCGGTAAATATAATGATTCTCCAGTATTCTTCTCTATGTGGAAGGTGTTCCAATGCAAAGCCGAGTCGACACTCCTTGTGAGTAGGTGTTAGCCACCCTTTGTGAGCTGGAATATGGCAGTCGATCCCGGCTGCATGAAGTCGGCGTCTCGTTGTCATGTGATGGCAGTTGAGGCCCAGATTTCTTGTATGCTCCACTGATGTTCGCATTGGATATGCCGTTGCAGCTGCCACGATCATGGCGTCCATCCTTGCCGACGTTACTCGTGGCTTCCCGCTTCGAGGTTTCGTCTCCACTGAGCCCTCTTCCTCCCACAGGCGGATCCGCCTCCAAATCGTCTTGGTGCTCCTTTCCACTTCGACAGCATTGTTCGGCACAGTTGCCCCGGCTCTCCACATCCCGATGATTTGGCCTCGCTCAGCAATCACTGTCGACGAATTTGCTCGTCCTGCAGGCATATCTGAAATGGCAGAGTAATATTATGTTGTGGTAACTGATGCAGGCTTTTATATACTAGAGTAAATTAATGGTATTAGTAACACCTAGGTTTAGTATTATTACTCTGACATAACGTTTTGGTAAATCTTTTTGGATCAACTGCCCAAGAAACCCTTTCTATTTCATGTATTCATAGTGAACTGCAAGTGGATCCTCCCTCCCCCCCCCCAAAAAAAAATTTTTTCACCACCACCCCTGCGACTGTAGAGTGAACATTCGCCGATAATCATCATCATCATCAAGATTTAGATTAACCAGACCACTGACACCCATTTGAGTCTCTCCTAGGGCTGGCCAGAGGGATTAGTTAACATATATTTGTGTTTCTATAATTTAGTGTTATATTGTTTGGAGGAGATTACAGTATTTCAGAAAGGTCAAAACTGAACTTAGGGAAAATTTTGGGGTCTCTGCTAAAATATCTTACATTGTAGGGTTAGTGAAGCACATTGTTCGATAACGATTATAAATAGGGCATTCAATGAGAATATGCTGGACTGTTATTTGTGTTCCGCAGTTGGAGCATAAAACCCCAAATAATAATAATAATGATTAATGATAATAATAATAATAATAATAATAATAATAATAATAATAATAATAATAATAATAATAATATTTATAATAATACTAATAGTAATAATAATAATAATAATAATAAAAATAGTAATGGAAGTATTACGCTTATGCTAACCGTGGAAGCCAACTGCTTGTTTGGTTGTGGACTAGTTTAGTGAACGTAAGAGCGGATCGTTGACGAAGCTTCGAAACTCATGACTATCTTTCGTTAATAATTATCAGTTTTATTTTAGCTAATGGTGGATAGAAGTGATTTAAGAAAATTAATGAGATTATAGATGATGGACCAATCGTGTATGGTGGTCTTTCCGCCGGCCAGTCGATTATTTTCATATGAATCAGTAAAGCGAACCAATGAATTAAAGAATCGAAGCACCTCGGGTTCGCCACTCGCCAGTGATCATTAGAGGTACGGCAGATGGTGGTGGCAAAATGTGTGTGTGTGGTCATACAGTATTTGATCGCTATTTCCATGTTTTACGTTTGCTGTTTGTGGATTATCTCGTGTTTGTGGCGTCGTGAGGACTTCCAGGACTCTACGTTGTGGTTATTAGCAGTTGAGTGAAGGTAAGGTGATAACAAGTTGTGTTGTTGTACTGTGGGGTCCAGGGAGGAGGAGGCGGTAGTGTAGCTCTCCGCCGTGTATACAGGAGTTGTGGATGCCGTGGCTCGGATGGAAAATACTGCTATTAAGATGGCTATTAACCTAAGCTAGTATGTGGATAGACAGATAATACTGCTATTAAGATGGCTATTAACCAAAGTTATCATGTGGAAAGACATATAATACCGCTATTAAGATGGCTATTAACCTAAGCTGATATGTACTGTAGATATATGAATAAAATCCGAGAATTAGTATCGGTACAATGTTGTTGCAGTGCGGGGTACTTCTCCACCTGTACTGGAACCTTGATTTTGTATGAATTTATTGAGTAAAAATCATACATACATACATACATACATACATACATACATACATGAGGGTTATCAGCCTGGTTATTTCATGTTAAACACCTTGTTCAGTTGAAGTTTTTGTTAGGGTAAGAGTGGTAGGTATCGTCACCGGTGCCCATATGCTGCTATTGCTGAAGTAAATTATGCAATGGGATCACTAACCAACATTTCCAATATAATTATTTGCCCTTGATAGTGTAAATACCTAGCGCGTCACTTGGATCAATTCAATTTCAATTGTTTATTCCCTGATAGAGGAAGCGGGATCCTAGTGCCGTCACTAGGTACCCCTGTACAATAACACCAGAAGCATCTGGCAAGTGTCACAAGTATATACAGTATAAATATTATAAAGGGGCTTACTAAAACCGAAGGAAGGAAGGATATTCCTTTAACACATAATCAATGTTATTTACATAATATCTGGCCAGTAAAGGGGAGGATCATCGTTTCTCCGTCAGGGGGTCGTGGAGTGGTGGTACAGCAGGCGTCACGGAAGCGTTGTGTGTGGGGACATCTTAGCAGGTAGTTGATAAGGGTGCGGCTGTTGGGTCTTCTGCATAATGCACAAGAGCTTTGCTCAGGGGATGCGGGGATACCAATCTCCCAAGCAAAGTCATACCCAATGATGATACGAGCACCAATCACGTCCCTTTTCCGCGACCCTTTCCCATAGACATACGAGAGGTCACGAAGTTTACGGAGGACTTCGTACCAGGTGGGCGGGGAGTCCAGGGGGATGGCTGCTCCCCGAGCTTCTCTCTGTTTGCGGCGAATTTGGGTCCTAAGCTGTAAAAGTGTTCGAGGAACAACGTAGTTAGGTGTGGCCTTGTTGCAGCCAATCTTGGCAAGGCCATCTGC